TTTCCGAGTAGCTCCTGTGGAAGGAGGAAACTTGGCATTAAAGGAGCCACTGAGCTAGGATATGTTGGGTGAGGAGGGTGGACTTGCGGGCGACATCCGGGATATTTGATGAGAAGTTGACTATCTGCAAACCAGGAGGTAGACACACAAAACACTGGATCTGTCAGCAGCCTGACCTTGGACCTGGTTATAGAGAAACAGATATCTGTTGCTTACCCACCCAGTCTATTGTAATCTGTTACAGCAATCCAAAGGGACAACAGTGACAACAGTTACAGTTTCCGCTCACACTTAAGGCAAGGGGACCATACAGTTGTCTACCACAGGGCGCTGGGCCCTTGGGAGCCACCTAAAAATTCCATTTGACATGAATTCATACAGTGGTTCTCAATCACGGACTGCTTTTCTCCCCAGGGGAAACTTGACAAGGGCTGTCACAACCGGGGTTGTTTGCCACCAGTGTCTAGTGGGAAGAGATTTGTGACTTTGCTAAATATTTTTACAATGCACAGGACATTCCCCTAAGACAGAGTTATCTGTTTCCGAAAGTTAACAGTGGCCGGAAACACTGACCTAGGAGAAAAAGAACTTGGGGAAGAGGTCTGGGAGAGGCTGGAAGGCTGCCAATGGTTTCGGAGAAATTTTGTGGTGAATGTTGGGATGGTGTTGCCAAAAGAATGGGAAATGGATATTGAATGGGAAAAACTGACAAGTGTCTCTTGTGGTTCGTTTCCCTGGTGCTTAGAACAGGACAGGCATTTATCCACCATCTACTGAATTAAATGAAACCCTGAAACACCAGCGTGCAAATTCACAGTCCATAGGAAAGAAGAAAATGTGCTTCGAGTTGGCCCGAGGAGGAAAACTTCCATGTCCTTGTGTTTACATTTAAAAGTCTCAGGCTCTGATCGCCATTTTGGACATTTCTTTTACACTGGTAACGGTGTTCCAGATATTCTGAAAGTTCCCGGCCATTTTGTTTGGTGACGTAACTGTGGATACACTTTTAAAATCCAGCCAGCAACATCTACTTTCCTTAGAAAACTGTACCTCATGTGATAATTTACCTGGGATTTGGGGAGTTCCCGGGGCCCTAAGAGTCCCGAGGTAAGTGATTTCGTTGTGGATAATGACTGGCATTGGAATTTGTGTATTTTGAGACTCCCCGTTGTTTTATACATCTTTCTTCTTGGAACTACCCTGGTTCAGGACTAGAGGGCATTGTGTACCTAGAAACCACATCAGACACTGAAGCTCTTTGGATTTCTGCACAAAAAGGCTTGTTCACTGCTCAGTTAACAAGTAAGCCCTTGCCTGCTCCCGGGAGGGAGTGAAGTCAGCCCCCTGCGAAGAAAGGGATGGGGATAGGGGAGAAGAGCTGCCTAAATGTTTCCCTCATTTGTATGTTGATGAAATGTCGGCAATCTCCCCAGAGTTCAAGTGCCTGGTTTGGATTGATTTCCCAGCAAGGATCCTGGCGTGTTGGGGCGAGCGGCCTATTAGGAGCACAGGAGACTCAAAGTCCCGGCTTTGCCTCTGGCTTCCCGTGGGATCTCAGGAAGACCCTTCCTGTCTCAGTGCCCCTCCGCTCTTATTTGCAAAGTGAGGGGACTGGATTAACTACTGGACAATTACAGAGTAGGAGGCGCATCAGGTTCAAATGTTTCAGGACGTGGGGGAGATGTGTGGAGAGATCAGCCGGCAGGGAGGAGAGTGGCCCGAGCTGGAAATGAATGTATCAGGTGATCCCAAGAGGGTGGGGGCCAAAGAAATTCAGCAAATGAGTGAGGAGAGTGGAGGTCCCTTGGCAGTCCTCGCTGGGTTGTGTGGGCTGCAGCCTGCTGTTCCGAAAGCAAAGCACAGCAGCGGGCAGCCTCTGAGACAGCTCCGCCTCGTGCCATCCCTCCCTCAGAGTGAGCTCCCCCATGACTCACTTCTGGCCAAAAGAATAAGGGAAGCGTAACAGACACACTGCTGAGATCAGTTCGCAAGAAGCTGGTAAATATCATCTGGGACATTGTGCCAGCTCTGTGCTCTGATGATGCCAGCTGCCTTGTGAGAGCTGCCCTACTGAGAGGCTCTGGTGGCGAGGTCTCTGACCACCAGAAGCTGAGAAGTGCAAGCTCTGAGTCCTGTCCATGGAATGAGTCCTGTCCACAACCATGTGAATGAGCTTGGAAGTGGGTCTTCTGCCAGATGAGTCTTCAGTACAGATTGCAGCCCTTGGGTGCAACTTGATTGCAGCAGAAACCCCCAGTGAGACAGAAAGGCAGAGGCCAACTGGCTAAGCTAGACCTGGGTTCCTGACCTGCAGACCCCATGAGATGATAACTGTGTATTGTCCTAAGCTGCTAAGTCTTGGGATAACCTGTGATAGAGCAATAGTAGATAACTAACACAATGTTAAAGATGTGATCACCAGACAGTTCTTTCCAGTGGTGTGACTTTGGATAAATCTTTTCACTTCTCGAAGCTTTAGCTTTGTCAAGTTGTAGCATTGTGAGGTCTAACAGAGATGACCCATAAAAATGCTTGCATAGTGTATAGTACATGAACAAAAAATGGCAGAAATCATCATCATCATGATCTTCCACCACCACATCATCATCATTGTCCATCATCACCATTATCCATTATCCACTATCCCCTCCTCCTCTTCATGATCATCTACCATCACCACCTTCACCTTCACCATCCCCATCATCATCATTGACATCGTTATCATCACAGGACTCAGTTAGTAGAGAAATGGAATCCAAATACCACTCTGACAATCTTATCCTTCTTCCAGTAAGAGACACTAATTACAGTTGTGTCAAGTGTCTGGTCAGTCAACGAGCCTCACCCCATGTCAACAATGATCGGTCCAGTGGTAGATGGGCATTGATCAAAAAGGGCAATTAAAGCCCTTTTCTGAGATTTACATAGATTTGTTGGAGAAAGCTTCTGTAGTGGGCTAGGCACGGGAGCCTTAGAGAGAAATCCTCTAACCTTTTCTCCAAAAGCAGAGGCCATCAGTAATTCCACAAAGCTCTTTGATATTTATTTTATTTCCATTAGAGTTAAATTCCAGTGATTAATGAAGCCTAAAAAAATCCCCACAGAAACAACACAACAGAAAGGGAACCCCACTAATGCCCTCCTCCAAGTCTATCTGCAAATGATTTCTCATGGTTTAATTGGCCCTTTTAGGTAAAATCTCTCACTGTTGCAACAGAAATTGCTTCTTCTTCTTCTTCTTTTTACTACAGAGAATGCTTGGGGCTGATTACCTCTGAGAAATGAGACCTGAGGGTGGATCACACAGGGGCACTGATAGTGATCCCTTTCTGGAAGGCAGAGGCCCCCCCGGGATGGTGGGCAGGAAAGCTCCATCCCTGTTTCCAAGGAGGACCCTAGAAACTTCAGTGACACTCCCAACTTTCAGGTTCTAATGTTTTCCTCCAGGATGATCCGGGTGGGTGATGACAGATTGCCAGGAAATACACTGATTTAAAGAACAATCCAACTATAAACTTCCTCCTGGGAAATTAGAAAAGACTTCTTTGTGTACAGTTTTTTTTTTTTTTTTTGTAAGAAGAGAAACCAAGAGTTTGATTTTGGGCAGCTTGAACTTGAGGTGCCTGAAAAATACCCCTGACATCAGCAAGAGCCATTGACTGGGAGAGTCTGTAGCTCGAGAAATAGTTGGTTGGGATGTGCCGTAGGTGTGACCAGCGTGTGAAGGGCACTGAAGTCCCTGCATGGGGGAGAACATGGGGGAGGGGCAGCGCTCCTCCTGATGCTGTAGGTACCTCTGTCCTTTGGCAGGGGAACTGGGCGGACCCTAGGATGCTTCTTTTCTTGGTTTACATGGGAAACGGCCCTGTGTCCCGACCTCCATTGTGTTTCGAAGCCCCACGAGTGAGTGTGGCCAATGTCAGGGTCTGTGGGGGAAGGAGGTGTGGTAGGGCTGGCTGCGGTGCTCACCTTTATCAAGTGTCAGCTTGGAGAGGGCTAAGAGATGCCCAGAGACAAGTAAAACATTAATTTTGGGTGTGTCTGTGGCGGTGTTTCTGCAAGATATTAGAATGTGGTTCAGCAAATGAGTGAGTAGGCTCTCCCTCACCCACGCGGGGGTCCTCGTCCAATCCACCGACAGCTGCGCAGATTGAAATGGGGAGGAAGGACAGGATTCTCTTCTTTCTTCTTCAGTTGGGATGCTCGTCACTTCCTGCCGTTGGACAGGAGAGCTCTTGGTTTTTGAACCCTCAGATTCCAGACACCAGTGCCCGCCCCTAGACTCTCTGGCCATTGAGTTTGACGGGGATCCACAGCACTGGTTTCCAGCCCTGGGACTGGTACCAAATACACCAGCACCCCCCTGGCTTTCCTGGGGCTCCAGCTCACGCACGGCCTGCTGTGTGTCAGCCTCTATTTCTTCTTCCTATAGCTCAGCCTCTATTTCTTCTTCCTCCTTCTCTCCTCACCCCTCTTTTCCTCCTCTTTGTCTCCCTCTGTCTTTGGAGAACTCTAATCCTAAGGCACATTTTGACACTAAAAGAAGTTCTACAAGAACTGCTAGCATTTTCAGAGTGAGTTTTCTGAATTGGTTTTGGTGTTTCTGGCACTGGGTCTCTCTCCCTCTCTTCTCTGTCTTTCTCTCTCTCATTACTGTTTGGCACTGATTCTCCAATATGATAGACATGGGGTCACTAAAGACTGCATTTCCAGGAGAAAAGAGAGCATGATGGTCCACAGTGTGGACTATTTATAGAGATACACAAAATACCTGTACTGGACATTCCTAATTAACCATTGACAAGGAGCAAGCAGCTAAGTAGGTCTGATACTGTTAAGGGGAAGGATGTCCTAAAGGAACTCTGCAGAGTCTTGAGGACTCCACCCCCTACACAAGTGATTGGAAACTACAACTCCCAGCAGCACCAGGGAGAGAACTGCGAGGACTCCAAGGCAGAGCTAAGCAGGCATTCTGGGACATTGGGAGATAAATAGGGCGCCATTGCGTCTCTTGCTTGGAAGCGGCTCTCTGGACCGCCTGACTCTAGGTTTTCAATTAGTTTGTTACCAGAGCTCCAAGTCTGCTGAGCCGGTAAGATATTCCAGTTGTTGTTTCCTGTTCTTTTCCCCTTTTGTAAATAAACCCGTTATTGACCCTTTTGTGTGTGCCTGCAGTACAACTGAATTTAAGCGCGAGGGTGAGACCCCACTGACAGGCGGCCCAGTTCACACTGGGGTGCCCTGTAACAATACCTTGAAAAAAATTCAACTAAAGAATATAACAGCTCACGCTGGTTGCTCTCAATTGGGCTGGACAACGTGGTGAGGGAAGATGAGCTCGGGGCGTGCATTCCTAGCTTCCGTACCACAGAAATGATCTGCTAGCTGCTGAGGTCCCCAGAGGGAGCCTTAGCTTCTGCAGCCTCGGGGGAAGAGGCTGGAAAGCAGAGGCAGCCTCAGGACCACTGGACGCGAGAGCAGGATGGCCGCCGGCCATCAGAGGCTGGCAGCTGATGAGAGGCCATGATGGGGAGAGAAAGTCAGGATGGGGCTCTTGGGAGGACCTGATGAAGTTAGGGGGCTTAACCTCTAAATGCTCATGGGTGTTTATAAGAGGCGTCTCCCCTCTCCAGGGGTTTCCTCACCCCAGTACGATGGGCTTCTCCTTCTCCCTTCCAGGTCGTTAACCTGCCTTGTCCGACGGAAAGGGACCGGCCGTCCCCAGGTGAATGCCACGAGGGCAAGGCACCCCAGGCCACTGTGCTCTCTGCCCTGTAAATAGACTCAACACCCAATAGCCCCTGGAGGTAAAGTACACTGCCTGAGCTATGAAGAGGTGCACTAGATCCCAAGAGAACTATAATGAAGAACTACTTTATTTTATCAATTAACTAGCTAATTAATTGAAGTACCACTGGTCTGTATATTTGTGTTTTGAAGATAAGCTCTCCCTTCGGGTGTAGACACGTTAGCACGCAGGTCCGCAGCATTCCTGTAGTTCTCCACCAGCTCCAGCATGTTCTCTCGTGACTTGACACTCACCAAACCCTCTCCCGGGAGTTTCTGGAAGCAGAGATCATGTGTGGGAATGAATGCTAAGAGTGGCAGGAAGATAAATCTGGGTCAGGCTGAATTTATTGCCTGGGCCCACGAAGCAGAGATTCTGCATGCCACGTGGCTCAGACAGTTGGGAAAGAGGCTGGTGGGTTGGTTGAACTTGGACCCAGTGATGGCCCGCCCTCAAATGGATTCACACATGCCTGTCTCTTTTGGATTCAAGAACCTAGGGAGATTGCAGAGTTAGCATGGATGTGCCATTTAAGACTTTCTCCCTGCATCGGGAGGGCCCAGACCCTTCAGCAGTATCTTGAGGAGCAGACTTGAGGAGCACTCTAGTGTTCCTGAGGCTCTTGTGGAGTTCTGGTCTCCGGAGGCCCCTCTTGGGCAAAGTTCTATGCAGCGGGAGGCACTGGATCGCAGGGGGCTGGGCCGATCGTGTGTAGCACTCCAGGTCAGAGACGGGAGGCGTGCTCCTGAGGTGGACCGTGGAGGCACGGCAGCCCTTGGACAGCCCGGTGGGCACAGACCTCTGGCCACTGACTGGTTGATTGTGGTCTTCCTAGGAGTGACATAGACAGTCTTCTTTTTTTTTTTCAATTTAAAAAATATATTCATTCCATCCTCCTTCAGTTTTGTACAGCGTATGCTTTCCCCGTGAAATTCTCACCACTCATTCACCTGTGCACCATCACACAGTCCCTTGTGGTCCTCCCACTCCTGCGCTGGCCCTTTCCCCCTACACTCTTTTTTTTATTAAAAAAATTTTTTTTAAAGATTTATTTATTTGTACATGCAGAACTGGAGTACAGGCCAGAGATGCGGAGGGTGAGAGGATTCACCAAAGACAGATTGGGGTGCAGAACAGGCAGATTGACGAAGCACACTGCTGAGGGGAGCAGCGGGCGGGTCAGGAGAGGTCTGCCGCGCCATGTGGTCACCTCCGGGGCAGGCGGGAATCGAACTCATGCGTAAGTGGCTTCAGCTTCTCAGTGCAGCGCTTTAACCCGCTGCGCCACCAGGGAGGGACACTCCCCTACACTCTTAACTTGATCTGTATAAAGAGAAAAGTTTTAGGTCAAGTGAAACAAACCTAACTCAAATCATGAGAATGGAGAGGCAGGGTCCCTCCAGCAATCCCCAGGCTCGAACCCTTTGAATTCAAGGAGGGGAGGCTGGGACCCCTGAAGGATCCTCCAGGAAGGAGCCTAAAAATTGTAAGGTCAGTCTTGCAACCTTACCCCCAAGGGACCAACAGGGCCATTGCGTTAGGGAACAGGAAGCAGGCAGACCTTCTGGGGACTGGTGGATGCTGGCCTGGAATGACAATGGTCTAGGAGAATCACAGGCTACAATCACGGCCAGAACAGGGGGTGATGGAGATGAGGCCGTCATTACAGGTGTAGCTCAGGGTTGTCTCTTCATGGGTCTGGTGGCCGGTGAACCCACCCTGCGGTGATTTTCCCCACCCCGGGGTGCATAATGGGGATAAACACACTTAGGAGCTGCTAGAATCCTCACACTGATTCTCCTAGCCGTGGTGAGAAAGGCCATGGGTAAACCCCTCTGTCTCCTTGAACTTCAGTTTGCCATCAGTACAATAATAAGCTGGGTCAGGTGACCTCCTAGACCCTTTCCTCTGTGACATTCTTGATCAGTTCCAGTAAGTTAAGAACTGCCAAGTTGCTGCATGTACTATGGCTGAGTCCTAAAACTTTATGGCAAAAGCCATCTGTCCCTAATCTTTAGTAATTCTACAGAGATTTCTAGTGTCCCTTCTGCCGTGTCTCTATACACAGGAGGCAAAAGAGGCACTAAATTCTGTCATCTCCACTCTTCAGCCCTTTATGGCGGATCATTAGGATGCATTTGCCATGGATGATTGAGAAAGAGAGCGGACAGTGTTCAGACATTAATGGGATCCTGCATTAGCAAACATGTAAATTCCACTGAATATTTTATGTCAGGCAGTGTAATATAATGAGAGGGCCTCTAAGAGTTGGCGGGTGGGGGGGGTTGTTGAGAAAAAGATTTATTCCTCTGGGGACACAGAATCAAACCCTCAATATAGGTGCCCTGGGTTTTGGAAGAAATGACAGCTTATTCAACACATCTAGTGAGCACTATGTCCTGTGAGCTCTGTCTTTATGATGTAAGAAAATCATTCCAGAATATGAAAACATTAATTTGAAGAATAATCAGTACCTGATTTTGTCACAGGATTACACATAATAAGCAAGAGCTAGAATCAACCTAAGTGTCCTATAAGGGATGAGTGGGTACAGAAGATGTGGTGTACATACACAGTGGAATACTACTCAGCTATGAAAAAGACGAAACCCTTCCATTTGTGACAACATGACAACATGGGTAGAACTGGAGGGTGTTAGGCTAAATCAAAAGGACAAAGTTAAACATTGCATGATTTCTCTTTTAAGTGGTGAGTAAACTAAATAAACTACTGAACTAAAGGAAAAACACTTTCAGACTATAAGAACAAAATAGTGGTTATGAGAAGAAGAGAGGGAGAAGGATAGGGGATGAGGAAAAAGGAGTCAATTGTATGATGATAGATGGAAACCCAATTTTTTGGTGATGAGAATATGAGAATAATATAGTATATATAGATGCTGATTTAAAGTTGAACATACAATGTTATAAACCAATGTTACTTCTCTAAAAAAAAATCATCTGGAGTAGAAGACTAAGTTCTCAAATTTGACTTTGCTACTTGGTATCTGGCTGAACATGGAGCAAGCTTCTTCAGCTGGTCAGCAGGTTTGCACATCTGTAAAGTGTGTAGGGGGGAAGAGTACTATCTCCCTCTTGGGTCACGGTGAGGTCTAGAAAGACAGTGTTTACAAAGTGCCCTGCTCTGTAGCTGGCTTTCCATCATGGTGGACTCTACTTATCACATCTCTTTGCAGATGGAATAGGAGGGTTAAAAGATGTATTTCACCATTACATTCTAGATGAACATCCAGGCAAGACATTCCCATGGTATCCAAAAGTCAACCTCCTGTTCTGGTATGGAAGCACCCTGCTGACGAGCCAAGTTTCCATTCATTAAACTCAGAAGCTTTTACAGGATGAGGGTTGGTTTGCAACTGCTTTGTCGATGTCTTCCCTTAATTAATGCCATTCTCAATGTAAAGTCGCATTGATAGGACCATTGTCTCTCCAGGACCCCGCCGCTACAAGGTCCAGGACGATCTATTCCTATCCAAAGTATTTAAAATAGTTTCCCTACTCCCACCTTACCCCCCCCAATCAATTTATACTAAATGCTGTTGTAAAATCAAATCTATCACCCAGGGGATTAAGAAATACGAAGGGCCAATTTAATGACAGGATTTAGTTCATTATTTATCTTCTAGCATGTAAATTATAGATTGTCATAAATTTTTCATTCTTTGGGTGCCCACTACCTAATTCCAGCAAAAAAATAAAATGCAGGGGCCTGCATTCCAAAGAGCAAGTGTCTCCTCTCTGGGCACAAGAGCCATCTCCTCTGCCTTCTGACGGACGATAATCTGTCAGAATGAAAAATTAATGGCTGCTCCCTTAATTCATCATCGCCTGCCTGTGTTCTATTAATGCCTCTCCCTTCTTCTTCCCGCCTCCCCTCTTCCCTCCTCCCTCACCCACCCCAATGCCTGGCTGTTCACCAGCAGTGAGTGGGACGCAGAGAACTGGACTAGTGATGGCAACAGAAAAGAAAAGCAGATGCATTGACTTCTGGACTCCTGGGTCAACGGGAAAACACAGACTCTGCTTTCTGACCCGCAGCAGGACCTGGAGCCCTGACACAGCACTCGGGAACCACAGAAGGTGCCTGCGACCTCCGTGTCCCACCAGGCTGATGGTCATTGTGGGGGGCATTGGCTGCATGGTGCTCAAGACCACTATGCACCGTCTGGTGATGAACCTGGGAATTCGCAAGGAAGCTTCCAAGTCACCGGATCCAACTCTTTGCTTTACAGATCAGAAAATGAAGCTTCAGAGAGGAGACGAGTTTTTCTAAAGGTCACGCTACCAGGGAGATTGGCACCACTACAAATTATGGCTGTCAAACCCAGCTGGGCTCCGAGAGCCACCCAGCGATCCTTCCATTTGTCTTAAATCATCTCTCTTTTCTAATTCCCTTAAAGACATCCAAATTTCCACTCTACTTCCTGACTATTTGTAGAAGCTGCTCTTCTTCAGTACAGTCACATAGGCCATTTACCAAATGTCCCAGCACCCCATTTTTCTGGGTTACCTGTATCCCAGCTCCTGGAAGTTACCGTTATGGCGACTTGTGTTGGCCAATAGCTTTAAAACAGGTGCAGAATCTGGGTCCTCCCTGGTGGCACAGCGGGTTCAAGTACAGCACATTGAAGCTAACGGCACTGCAGTGCTAGTTTGCTCCCCACTTTGGAGGTGACCCACAGGGCGCAGCAGACCTCTCCTGTCTCCCTGCTGCTCCCCTCAGCAGTGTACTTTGTCCATCTGCCTGTTCTGTCCCAACTCTGTCTCTGGAGAATCCTCTCACCACCCCTGCACCTCTGGCCTGTACCCCATTTCTGTATGCATAAAAATAAATCTTTAAAAAAAAACAACAGGTGCAGAATACACTGTAGTTTCTTCTCACTGCAATGGCCACCATTTGGGTGGGGTGGGTTTGAGAAGCTGTCAGCTTCGTCTTTGGGGCTGGGAGAGGGCACCCCTCTGGGCTGTGTCTGCCATTGTGAGGGGTATATTCTGTTGTCTTAACACTCTGAAATGCTAGGGTCATCATTTTCCTGCAGCAAGACTTCCACGCTGATTCTTAAATGCACTGGATAAGTTGAGGTCACCACGCTCCCCCTCCCCAGCTTCCTCCAGATGCATCTGTGCCCCGGGGCCTCTCATTTCCTGCAGGCTGACTGAATGAGGCATCTCTCCCCCACCATGGCTTCCCGCTCCCTTTGTTCCCATTTTGCTAGTGTATCCTTTCACGGACTTCCTCCTCCCTCAACCTCTCAGGCCTTCTCCCTTCCCTTTCTCATCCAATATTTCTGAAAGTGTTGTCTATTCTTGTTTCTCCCTTTCTCACCTCTGTGCCCTCTCGATCCATTGTAATTAGGTTTCTCCTCCTATATTCCAATAAAGTTCTCTATAAGGCGCCCTGGCAAAGATGGGTCCAGTTATTCACCCTGCGAGACCCGCTGACCTGCCCGGGACTGTTGATTTTGTATCTTCCTTGAACCATCATGACCTTGATTTCTAGGACATCCAGTTCTTTCGGATCTTGGCCTTCCCCAGGCAGCTGCTTTCTGTCTGCTTTGGGATGGTTTTTCTGTTACCATTTCTCCGAGTTCTGTCCTCATGTGTTCTGACTCCACATTTTATCCTCATAATTTAATTTCAACTCTGTGACTCTTAGATGATATCTCTAGTTTATGTATCTCCCTAAAGACTCAGACTGATGCACTCAGCTACCTGCTGTTCACCTCCTGCTGGTATCCATAGACCTGTCATCCTCGAATGTCCGAAGGAGCACTTGTCATGGTTCCCAAAGCTGGCCTTCGTGCTTTCTGCTTTTTCCTAGTTGGTGGCATCATTGTCTTTCTGAGCACCTGTCCAGTTCCTCTTCCTTTGCAGAATATCAATATATAAATCAATTATTTCTCTTATGTTCCCTCCTCCCTTAGAGGATGAAGGAGTCAGGGGTCAAAGATGAAGTTCAGTTATTCAGCACACGCACCTACTTTTATTTCTTTTCTGGAAGACAAAAAAAGAAACCAGGCAAAGAGCACATACCGAGAAAGAAGGGACCACGAATGTTCAGATTTTACTCTCGGAGGTTGCAGACTTCTCTGTCTGGCTTTGGGATGATCCCCTCACGCACCCAGGCTTCGCCATGTTGACAATGGAACACACTGAGCCCACGGATCTCTGCGGGCCTTCATTGTTCTGGAACCAGCCGAGCAGACAAGCATGCAGACAAGCTCCAGCTCCTTCAGCCCCCTCTTGTTAAGATACAGACATGGCTCTGGGTGAAGGCGGAGGCTTTAAGGGGGCTTTTGCATCAGGTTGGAGCGGCTCACGGGAGTCGGCCTCTCAGAGCTGCCTTTCCAGGAAGATAAGAGAAGGTCAGTGAGCGTGTGTTGATGGTTAACCAGGGATTAATTGGTCCAACAATCCAGTGGCTGTGGGAGAACTATGCAGATCATGGCCAGGATTACTTGTCCACAACCTCTGACGTCCTCCAGCGTGAGGACGGTCCCCGCGGCTGGAAGGGAGTTAGGGAGACGAGGGCGGACAGGCGCTGAGGAAGATGGTGGGGCTTGACGTGAAGGCAGCTGTGGCCCTTCCATCTCTAAACCCTGCTCTCCACTCCCTTTGACATCCTTCCTCCTTCCCTACCTCACACCTATGTTCAAAGAACCTCAGGTGGCCGAGGCACTAACAACACCAGCTTGGCTCAGGAGAGGAGGGTGATCTGGATTGACGCCCTGCTCCCCCCACATCGTACCTATGGGGACACGAGCCCACCGAGCCTTCAAGCTCAACATCCGTTAGCTCAACATCAGTCCCTTTCTGGCATCCGTGGCACCAGCTCTCCACAGCAGTCTTTCACCTCTTCGCCTACAGCCGTTCAACCCCTCAGCCCTCATGCAACCTGGCCATCACTGCCCCTCCCCAGTGGTGTCTGTCCCCTGTGACCTTCCTGAGCTTCTCCGAGGGGGCTGCCAGCGTTTGCTGCTCTAAAGGACAGCACAGGTGTCTGGTCCTAGCGAATGCGGGACGTGAGGGGGGCCCCCGCACCTTACAAAACCGACAATCAATAGCCAAGAAACACAAAGACCTTAATTCAACAATAAAGACGCAAACAACCCGGTGTATAAACGGCGACAGATCTGAACAGACCGGTCACCAAAGAGGAGACGGAGAAAGACGCCGGATCATGGAAACATGTTCGTCGATGCTTTTAACACGAGAGATGCAGGTTAAAGTTACGGTGACATCCTCTCACGCCAGTGCCCACTCAGAAGTCCCCCAACAAGTGCTGAAGAGGATACGGAGAAAGAGGACCCGGGTTACAGCGCTGGCAGATTGTCGATTAGTGCAACCATTTTGGAAAGTGGGCAGGGCTCACCTTAAAAAACTAAAAATGGAAATACCACATGACCCAGTCATCTTACCCGGGGGCAGCCATTCAAAGGATGTGAAACCATCCACTCTAGCTACTCCGTCTACGACGTTTATTACCATACCGACAGCTATTAAATATTTAGTTGTTTACAAAAGCCAGGACATGTGCAGTCTAAATGCCCATCCGTAGAGGCTTGCGTCTGCAGTGTCTCTGCACCGTGAAGAAAGGTTGCCGTTTACAGCAAGACTGAAGGCGTTTGAGGGAATTTTCTGCAATAATGCAGGTCAGAACGACAAACACAAATAGTGGACGTTTACACAACACACGTTTGGACAAAGTAGAATACTCACCAATACTGGCAGTCCTTGGCAAATGAAGTGAGGCTTCTGGAGCGGGAGGGAGGGGTCGAAGGGGGACCCGGAGGGTGGTGAGAAGAAAGAAAGAACGAGAACTGGGAGTCTGGGCTCCGTTACTAGCTGTGCCCCACCGGGCAGGTCGCGAACCGAGCTGAGCCAGCCCCACAGTTTAAAGTAAACATTTAAATTCAAAATGAAATTTAAATAAAATCCATCACGCTTTTCTCAGGGGCTGTCTAAGTATATAAGCAGGATGCATATGCTTTGGATTTCATCCATCGGTGATACCACGTGAAATCACATTAAAATTGAAATCTGGAGTCTGGGCTGTAGACTGCTCCTCCGCAATCATCCCATGACCCCTCGAGGACCCCCTGTGTCCCACCATCGGCCAGTTTCTCAGTGCGGGTCCTGGGGGGTGCCTCAAACGGCCTGTCCTCAGTGACAGCTTTCCGCCTGGAGGACTCAGCGGCCTCTCTGGCAGGCCCCAAGCTGCTGAAAGCCCCGCGCCGCAAGCCGAAGAGCCAAGTTCCGGGAGACCGGGGGCTCTCTGGGGAGGGTTTCCCACACCCTGCCTGGCTTCACCACGCGGGGGTCGGAGCATCCCGGGGCGCAACCCTGTGGCTGGGGCGCGCTGGTGCAGGCTGAGCCCAGCTCAGCCCGCGGGGGCTTGTGGGAAATGCTGGCAAGTGCTCCTCCCCCAGGGGCGCAGGTGGGACCCCTTCGGCAACCGGACAGATGCTCCATTGGTGTGACACTCATTTGGGGTGACGGTGCCCAGTTGCTTGAAACCCGAAGGATCACATAATCTCTAGATGCCCAGGTTTCAAGGCTGGTTCTTGAAGTGACTTGGGAGGGAACTCCCTCCATCATCACGCTTGCTGCTGCACCTGCCTTGGGTGCTGGCCGCTGTCCTCTCCTTTAGCCTGTGTGTTCTGGACTCTTGCCCTGTCGTTAACACGACCTGGGGGGAGACCTCACCTGTCAGATGGTCTGAAGTCTGCCTGAGTCCGGGTTCCGGGCCAAAGCCCCTTCCAGGTTGTTCTCCAGCCTCTTTGGAGTTGCAAGCAGGTAAGACGGTTGTCACCTCCGTCTGCAGAAGCAATCTGAAGCCCAGCTAAGAGCCCAGATCGGTACCGGGCACACCCTGGGGTCCATCCCCCTCTTTCCTTACTTCTCCCATGACCTTGAGCGGGACCTCACGTGGTGCTGTGAACGTGGCCTTTCTCATCTCCATCCTCTCACCAGTGCTTCCAATCTCCCTTGAATAAAAAAAAAAAGATAGATTGGCTTGATTTCTCAATAAATTGCTATTGCTTACGTGTCTGTTGCTTTGCTGTGTTGGAATATTCAGGGGGATTAATTCTATTGTGGAGTGGCTACTCGGAAGATTTATGTGTGGACACATGGAGCTTTGCTTGCTTTCTAGCCACTCCGCCCCCTTAAAGTAATAATAAAGATTACAAAAGAGAAATAAGCAGGGAAAGTTAATTTGAAATGAATCTTTAATCAGGTTTCATCTGTTCAGAGCAAATGTCTCCTTTGTCTAGCCGGGCTGCAGAGGCAGGCCGGAGACACCATTTTGTAGATGCATCCTCAAAGTCAAAGCCATTCTGACAGAAATCAAACGAGAAATAATTTCTCCCTGAAGGGATTCTGTTTCAGCTTAACGATGGCCAGAGTGTTCCCGTGGAAATGGCATAATGGGGTTTTTAATTACGATTCATACTGTCCGGCTTAATGGCAAGACTTTTACTTATTTATTTTTTTTTCCCTGAGCTCAGAAGCTCATTTGTTGAGTGCGTTCTGCCAAATGCAGGGTTTACCCCAAGGTGAAGGAGAGAATTAGCCACGGAAGCTGACCTGTGCCTGAATGCCCGCTTTATGGGCGAGAAGCGGGCGCCCACCTGGCCCTCGGGGCCCCACGGGGTCAAGCTGGAGCTGGAAATTGATGTTCCAAGCCCACCACAGGGGC